CTCGTCGTCTTTTTGCACGATGTTAGTAATAGATTCTTTTGGAATAAGGCAAATCTGAGCACCGATGAAATGTGACCGGAAAGCTGCACGTAGCTGCTGCCATTTCCATATTGAATGAGGTGGGAGAGTGTAATACCATTTCTGGGCTCGCGGCCCCAGCGTAAGTGAAAACATTCGACACCTCAGAGCATCTGAAGCTCCGTGTAAATCCATCCAAGATGTATAATGACCTAAATGAGCGTCTGGATCCGACGTCCCATCATACATACCGATTTGCGGAATATTTACTTTGACAGGGAGTGGCTCCGCGGTAAGCTCAGGGGCTAACGGAGAATCTGTCTCAACAACAACATTTCCCGACGTCGCGACATGTCGGGGTGAATCTTCTTGTGACTTCTGTCGCATTTCAAGTTCGGCCAAACGTTTGCGGAGGGTTTCGATTTCCTCCGCACTATGTCTCGAAAGGCGATTGCGCTCAATTTGGCGTCGTAAATCCTCGCGAACGTGAGGTGCTGATGAGATGGGCCTAGGACGAGGGGAAACTCTCTGACGATGAGCAGAATGACTCTCAGCAGTCATCTCCTGCACAGGGGGTTGATCTTGGGCTTGATTGTTCGTTACAGGATTCACAATCACATGAACTGGATCTTCTTGACTTGGAGAGGTATGATGAGGTTGGGATGTAGCATGTGACGTCGCAGCATGTACTTCATGATCATGATGAATATGAGTGGGATGTTCTGTTGGGTTAGTAGTCAATGGCATCGTGCTCGAGTTTCTAGGCATGGCCCGAGCTATTAATGAAGACAAGCCCTGTATGAACTCCGGATTTTGAAGGAAACTTGTAATATTCGCAGTCGGAGGTGGTGGTGTTGTACGTTGCGGGGAATGATTAGTTGACTGGCTCTGGCCAGGGTGAGTGGCATAGTCTCGTCCAGACTGTGACATGATAATTCTGTATTTGCAAACGGTTTTAACAGCGAATGAAATATGACGCGAAGGTTGAAACCGCCCTTCCTCTAGCGCCAAACTGTTGTCAAATGGAAATTAACAACAACCAAATTGCGATGTATCTAAATGTTCAGCGATGAAAAGCTTGTATATTATATCTGGAAATGTAATTTGTAGCAAGGTGGTATTCTTGTCTGTTTGGGAAATTCTCTCTTTCCCTTTTATATTTACATACCATATTTATCTGTACAATAATCATTACATTTTGAAAGGTCAAAGGCGGTCCTTGGTGGTTTTTCTTGATAGCTTGCCACTTGGATAAACGTAATGATGAATTATGCTGAGTTGTCGCCGCCTTACCATGCTGAGCTGGCATGTTATAGATATCGGTCCACCTAGTTATAACCGGTATGTCGTGGCTGATATGTAGTAACCGACATGTGTTGACCGACATGTGTTGACCGACATGTTTTGACCGACATGTGATATCGGTCAACTTAGTAAGGACGTCGGTTTCTGCTGAATCTTCATTGTGTAGTCACCTGGAAGTTGGTAGAAGTGTCTCTTGCTCACATGAACTTTAATCACCATTATATTGATCCCAATCAACGGATTAGTGTCGCTTAATCTGACTTACGGAAAATGATATCAACAGACTAAAAGTATCATCCTATATATAATGGAATTCTAATTCTTCTGTTGTCAAATATTTTAACAAATGATATGTTTCTCAATATTTTCTCATCGTTTTGTTTGTTTTGTTTTATCATTGCAAAAAATAGATTATATTTTTCGTCTATATTCTAAATAAATAACATTGAAAATAAAATGTATGAGTATCAAAACAGTTTTGAATGTTAGAATGAAGTTGTCATTTCTTATAGAAATATTTAAAACCTCATTGGTGTATTGCGCTTGAACATATGTGCAATTACTTTAGAGGTACTTTCAGGTAATGTATGGTGATTTCAAAAAATAATTTAGCACCTCGGGAGAAGTACATGTAACCCAAATTTTGGAAAGTCAACTTTTATTTGGAGATAAAATTCATTCCCACCTCGTGGGGCGATGCATCAATAGGGTAGACACCAATATATCTAGAGACAGAAGAATGTAAAATTAATTAAGAGGAATTAGTAGTTTATACAGTGATAAAAAATATCAACAATTTTAATGACACCGTTAGTTATTTCATAGAGATATTTATCCTTTGTTAGTAGAAGTACCTTGTTATAAAGATCATGCGATCATGAAATTTGACTATATGCTGGGTCAGAATGTTTCTTAAGTGTTTAAATAAAATTGGGGTTTTGCAATATTATGAGAAATTTTGCAATATTATTGATGTATTGGACTCCAACGACTATGAATGTTCTTATGAGAACGTCAAAACCAAAATGAAAGAAAATCTTTGTGTTTTTTTATTAGGGATTTGTTTTTTTATATATATTTTTATTGGGGGTTGTAAAACATTATTTCACTCTTTTTATATGAGGACATCATTACGTTAATTCTAAATTAAAAAAAAAAATCACATATGAGTTCATTTTTTCTATATTTTACTTAATTTCTGCAATGATATGTTTAATAAATTAATTAATTTATTTTGCAAACTTACTCTGCGAATATCATTTGACACCACGTGCATCGCACGTGCACTTTACTAGTCCTATACTAAAAATACCACATTATTTGAAAATAATAATGAAAATTACAAAAAAAAATTAGAAAAGATCACTAACAAGAACTTGTCAAATGCTTAAGAGTTGGAGGGAAAAGGTCAGCCAACTGTATTTTCAATTAAGGGCCCTATGGCCATAAAAGCCATTGAATAATGTAATCCAAAGAAGTTAAGAGTTTGTCATAGCAGACTGATCAGTTAT